GTACTTGTATATTGCTGTACCTATACTGTTACCTAGTACCTTGGTAAGTTTTACATGTCTGTATTAATGTACTTTGTATATTCGTCTCTACATAACTGTTACCTGTACCTTGGAAGTTTTACATGTCTGTATTAATGTACTTTGTATATGCTCTACATCTGTTACCTGTACCTTGGTAAGTTTTACATGTCTGTATTAATGTACTTTGTATATGCTCTACATCTGTTACCTGTACCTTGGTAAGTTTTACATGTCTGTATTAATGTACTTTGTATATGCTCTACATCTGTTACCTGTACCTTCATTATGTTCGCTATCCTCTACTTTGTATGCTTTAAGTATAGTTTACATAATCTCCGTTTTCTATACTTTGTCTGTGTTATACGATCTCTGTTTTATATATTTTAGTATGTTCTATACTTTGTTTCCTGTAAATCTGAGTGTGTTGTATCGTTTTTGTTTTCAATACTTTAGGTGTGTTATATAATCTTCATTTTCTATAATTTGTGTGTGTTGTATAGCCTTTAGTTTCTATACTTTGGATGTTTTCTATGTTTTGGATGTATTCTATAACATTTGTTTTCTACACTTTGAGTATGTTGCGTAATCTCTGTTTTCTATGTTTTGGGTCTGTAGCATTTGTTTTCTACACTTTGAGTATGTTGTCTTTCTTTGGGTGTATTCTATAAACTTTGTTTTCTGTATTTTCGATTTATTCCATAATCTTTCTTTCCTGTGCATAAAGTATGTTATATAACTTTTGATCTTCTGAGTTCTAAGATTTAAGACTTCTAAGACTTACGTTGAATATACATGACCTTTTACATCTGCAGTCTATATTTGTTCTAAACCGCTAGGTTGTATCATATCAAACGCATACTGGGAACATTCTTTCTCTCTGCGTGAGTTGAAGTAGCTGATATGGTCATGGTATCAATATACAGCTTCAACTAACATCCTGTTCTCAAAAACACCAAGAGTCTATGGTCCACAGGACATCACCGCTAAAATAACTGAGGCTTACCCTACACGAGTGCACCACTTGTATGAAGGAATTTTCGTTTCATACAGCTTACCTAGTCAGGTTGGTATCAATTTATGTCGACACTCCAAAAAATTCTCAATCCTTCAAGCTGGCTAACCTTAAAAAAAAGTCACTTAAATTATATACAGAAAACTAGCATGCTCAGCGTGCATTCCAGACGTTCCTTGCTAGGAGTTTAGAAAACGCGTAATCTCACGGCTGGAGAACACAATTTGAAATGATTAATTTCGGAAGTGGGGAGGTAAAAGGTTGGGATGTTTTGATGCTCATTCCCTCTCCGGATTACTGTTAAAGGCATTTAGTACATTTTGTTTAATCCTCTTCCAGAGATATTTCAGGAAATAGATCCTAGCTCATTAGTGAAATTTAGTAAGGTAAATAAAAACACAAAATCTATATCGACGTTTAATACATTTAATATAGAATATATTCTCAGTAAAATAAACACAAATATCAACTATAAATTATTTGTGGGCCCGTTTCCAAAAATTGCTATCAACTGTAAAGAGACACCAAGGTTTAGGCATAGAAAGGAAACTAGTCAACATCATATACTGCATACGCAAATACTATCATCCGAATATCGGGATTGACTGTCACACTTATAGCTCCCATCCTCAACTTTAAGTGTGAAGCATATCGCAGATATAATCTTAGACTCTCTATCCGCAGCCGCCACGCTAGTCACTGAGTCACACCTCATACCAACTGTAACGACACACTGTTGACAATAAATAATACACTATACACGCTCTTCGCGAAAAATATATTTATATAATACTGGGCCAACAGTGTAAATAAAAATGTCTCAATAAACTGTTTGAATTATGTTACAATATTAAACAACACGATAATAAGTAACACACTAGTTGATGATAATCATCAACAATAACTTTGAAGCAAGTATATCATCTTTAAGTATGTATGTATGTATGCTCAAAATCAGAGGAAACCAGCTATGATTGTGTCAAAACTAATTTACATCAATTTTAGATACACTCTCGAATTACCAGTTCATCATTGTTACATTGTAAAATATTAAATACTAAAAAACGCAATCAAGTTTGGTACTCATTATCACGAAATACGTTGGCATAATTAACTATACATTAATAGTTGTCTGATTGTTATTAATATTTGATACGCTAATATTTTGTCATACATCATCTGAGAAGACAACATATCGCTTATACGTACTGTAAAGGCATCGTCCATGTAACTGTGTCTTACAGTTTAAACAATCAGAAATACACACACACTTACAAAAATGTTTGATAAACACCCCAAAATCTGTGAACGATAACTACATACTTTAAAGTGAAATTGAACTATTGTCTTTCTTTCTTCTTTTTTTTTATTTTAGTACTGGTTTCATTCCAGAAACTCAAAAACAAAAATAAAACAACAACGAAGGAGACGAGAAACAACGGAAATCAAACGGCGCAACGGAAAAAGTAAGTATTTTTTTCAAAATGAATCAAAATGTGTTATATACACATGATTTTCGCTGTATACAATTAGTTAGTTTGTGATGTTCGTACATCAGAATTGTAAATAAAAGCTTCTAAATATATACACTGCATTTACTCGTATCCAATTATGCAACAGCACAGATTTACAAATAAGTCCGCGCGCGTATTGTCTTTCTCCATGCGTGCGCGAGCTCTTCATAAGTAGGGGAGGGGTTTCGTCTATAATTGTGTTTCCATAAGCTCATTTATTTATTTGTAATTAAGCACAAAGCTACACAATGGGCTATCTGTGTTCTGCCCACCATGGGTATCGAAACCCAGATTCTAGCGTTGTAAGTCCGCAGACATACCGCTGTGCTACCAAGGGGCTCCATAAGCTCAATCTTTGGCGTTTACTGAAGTAGACTCGGGCTTAAGGAAATAACCTGTAAGTCATCTTCATTAGAGACTATAATAGCAGTAATGAGCAGAGACAGTAGGCACTTTTGTGAGACCAGCTACTATACTCACTTGTCATAACGACTTGAATCAGTGGGTTGACTAATGTGAGCCCTCCAAAACGTTAATGTTCAACATTGATTTATTTAAAGCAAAGCAGGTAGAAAATTCATAACTACCCATTTATAAATAATTTATACTTATGATCACGTTTTCTTAGGAAAAATGTAATATGTAACATACGATACAGACTTTTCAGTTGGAAGTTCTTTTTTTTAAAGTACAACTGACTGTAATATCATGCACACAGCTTTACATTTAAAGAAAAACTTTGAAAATCACAAAAAATGTTAC